TATAATGCCGTAACTCATTCGATATGGGGGAGTCCTACTGTTGACGAGCGACTTGAAATATCACATCCATTGTATCAAACAGTTATCCCCGAAGTTTTTGTCGGGAGTGATAATGTCTCGTTACGTCAGCCGTCGTTACTCTGACTATGACTGTTCCTTACTTTTTGATTATTGTATTTGGAACGTTTTCTGAGTTGGTTATGGCAATGAAAGAGTAAGATAATAGCTGAACTGTCGGTCTATTCCAGTTAGGGGGGCATCATGATGCAGCTTTCTCGGCGAACTAGTGTGAACTCGAACATTCCAGCTTTTCACGCATGTCAAGTGACTGCCCTCCCCCCCCCTAGACTGGCTACACTCCCCTGGCTCGGAGTTACCCTAGCTTTCTGGAAAAACTGCATCATGATGCCCCCTAACTGGAACTGACCCTGAACTGTTTCGGTATTATGGGTACTTTTGTAGGCCTTCCTCCAAACTAACTGTTGCAACGATCGCAGAGCATTAGATACTTATCGATCGTGTGACGGTCCAATCGGATCTGACGATCGATACGTATCCAATGCTGCAGGATCGTTATGATCGGGCGACCGACTATGAAAGTGCACTATAGCACATTTTGGGGATTTGAGTTTTTGTTGTGCTGTTTTGTTCGCTTTAGTTATAATGAATGTTCCCGATATCACTATCACTACATAGTATTAAAAAATGTCATTTCAGATTTTCTCAATTGAATGGGTGAAAACGGTGCTGAGAACGAATCAGATTCCCAGTCATCATCACCAGCTCTTCAACCGTTGAGAAAACGAGCTCGAACATCTGAGTACGACAGTGAAGGCATGGAAGATGACGAGTACATCACGATAAATATGATGGAAGGGACAAGTGACGGTCCTTCAGGTTACTGTTATCTTGAGCATCCAGCTGATGTCCAGGTGCATTCCTGGGGTCCTGATCTGGCCTCTGCTCTCGCCCAAGCGATCACCGCCACTTACGGATACATGACTGATTTGGAAAATGTCGAAGAACAGTTCTCGATGTTTTACACCGCAAAGGCTAACGATTTGCAAGGCCTAATAATAGCCGTGATGGAAGAGGCTCTCTGTGGGTTCCAGTCAGAACCGTTTTTCATAGGTCGACGAGTTGTCGTGGAAAAACTGGACTTGGAAGCGTGGTCGGCTGAATTCCAAGTATTTGGGGAATGTTTTGACTTAGCAAAGCACACCCAGCTCACTGATGTCAAAGCAATCACCTATTCCAACATGCAAATTCATCAGAAGGATGATCGATGTGATATTTTTGTTATTCTTGACATTTAGATTTTTTGCGTGACAATTTTTCACAGGAGCGCATTTTTTATATCATTTTCTTCCAAGTTTCTCGGTTTTTCTATCCCTGCACAACACCCTGCAGTTGATGATTCATTTCTTGAAACTATCTTGTTGTTGCTTTGAATAGTTTTCTAAATATTTGTTGCCTCTGCACACCAAGTGTTATTTGATAACCTTTGATATGGTATTTTTTCTAAATAGCTGTGTCAGTTTGTTGTCATTCCTGACTTTGCTCTGCTGTTCGTATTTTACGAGGTAATTCGTGATATTATAGATTATCAAATAATAAATATTTAGATGGGTGTTGACGTCCAGAAGAAAGTGCTCAAGCGGAAGCTGGACAAGATGAAGGCCAGTCAGGTAATTTCAGAAGCATTCTTTTATTTTGAACATTTTCGTTTGTTGCATTCCAGTGAAGGTCTTGTTGTTACATTGTGGCTCCGGATTTCTCATGAAGTGTATCAGTATGAGGCATTTCCTCTAGACAATGCAGAGTACGTAAATTGATTGCTTTTTACCCTCACGCATTTGGTAGATATGGAAGGTTACGCGTAATGAAAGTACGTGCACTGATATTGCAGTTTTACTTAGACAGGTTCGTTGACTAGATCATGTTAACCAACAGAACCTGAGTGATGACAGAGGCATTGCGAATAGAAATCATTTTCCATAAGTGTTGCTCAAGCGCGTCTTCCTTTTGTGGGCTGGGTAGGAAGACCTCATCTTCATAAGGTTGTTGCTCCTACACTTTATTCAATTTCTAGCTCTATTTTACTTTTTGGGTTTGTTCATTCTTTTCGCGGTTTTTCTTCCCTATTTCAATGCGTTCAGGCTAAGATGCGGAAGAAAGAGAAGCTTGCAAAGCTGAAAGAAGAAAAAGAAGAGGTCGATGTCAAAGATGAGGTTAATGAAGATGCCAGTCAGGAAACTCATCAGGTAATTGTACGCTTCCCGTTTCACCAGTGGTTGTTGATACGAAATTCTTCACTCTATAGAATGGAGATTCCTGCGCTATCGATACAACTCAACTCCATCATCGGCACCTGCCGCAGACGACGTCGATTCTTTCTTTGCTGGAGGAAAAGTGTTTGATAATCTAAAAGGCAAAGTAAACGATCGAATACTCGATGCTGTTCGTAAAATGGGTTTCACATCGATGACGGAGATTCAAGCAAAAAGTATAGAGCCGTTGCTAGAGGTATTTTAACAATCTTTACATTCGTTACCGGTCGCTTTTTCTTATACCAATCGCTTACTCGAATGACTTGATGTTGCCCTCATGCTTTACGTTTTTATTTAGTTCCTTTTTCCAATTAGTTGCTGTGAGTTATGGTTCATACTACTACATTACTGAGCACAATTTTTGAAGGGACGTGATGTGTTGGCATCAGCCAAGACAGGCTCTGGAAAAACCTTGGCTTTTCTGATACCAGCCATCGAGTTGTTGTTAAAGCTTGATTGGAAGCAGTATAACGGCACTGGAGTTATAATTGTATCGCCAACTCGAGAGTTGTCTATGCAAACTTACGGTGTGCTCACAGAACTGCTGGAAGGTATGTTTTTTCGCAGCCGATAAAATTTTAATGTAATAACAGTTTTCTTCACTTTCTGACCTTAAAGGTATGTTAGAACATTTTTAGGGACTCATCTCAGTCATGGGTTGGTTATGGGAGGATCCAACAGAAGCGCTGAGCAGGAAAAACTGTCAAAGGTGCGTTTATAACGATTTTTTTCTTGTTTTTTTTTGTCTTATAGTGAGTGTGTATCTAGTGGTCTGTTGCAGAGTTTTTCTAAAGAGATTTTCATGATTAATTTTCTCATTCATTCGTGAAATTGACATCATTTAGGGTGTGGCCGTATTAGTGGCTACTCCTGGTCGTTTGTTGGATCATCTCCAGAATACGGAGCCGTTCCTTGTGAAAAATATGAAATGTCTGGTGATTGACGAAGCGGATCGGATCCTCGACATTGGATTTGAGCTGGAAATGCAACAGGTCTGTTCAGCTCTGTTGAATATTGGCCGCATTTGCGAATACAGCACTAAAAATTACCTGAGGTAATCATGCGTTAAGGTTCATTTAGCTCGGTTGCTAGTAGGAATTGGTTAATATGCCCCCATAAAATTAAGTGGTGCACATCAACGGTGTATGAGTCGATTATCTTCGATCAGTTTTTGGCTTGCTCTTATGAATAGGAGCAAGTAATTGATTTTCACCACTGTCAAATGAAAGAAAGCGTATGATGGATTAAGTCTACACATTCTATAATGTTATGTACCCTTGGTCCCTGGAATGCCTTGGATGATGTGTTTCTTTTTGAGTTTTGAAGGTTGATTTAGTTCATTTTCAGATCCTTCGGTATCTGCCAAACAAACGCCAGACCATGCTTTTCTCGGCCACGCACACTCCTAAGGTATGCTTTAGCTAGTCCTCTCTTATTGAATGTCTGTTATTTTTCACAGAATATGTTCAGTGTTACAGGTTGATGAACTCGTAAAACTATCCCTTCATTCGAACCCTGTTAAACTGTCTGTGGCAGAGAAAAGTGAAGCCGCAACTGTGGAAGGACTCCAACAGGTATGTGTTTGATGACATTGAATTGATTTCAATATCCTCATCGTTATTTCTTTCTACAGCGTATGTATTTTCCCTTTTCGTATTATTTATAAAGTTTCCATCTTGAATATTACAGGGCTATGTTGTATGTCCATCTGAGAAGCGGTTCTTGATGTTGTTCACTTTTTTGAAGAAGAACAAAAATAAGAAGGTATTTAATATCTATTTTCCTTTTATTTGTTTCATGTAAAAGTGGTGTTTTTGGTGCTGGAATAGTGAGAAAATCTAGAAATCGACTCTAGACTCTTAAAAAAGGCACCTGTGAAGCTAGATTGTCGAATATTTTTTCGACAATTATACGTTATTGAGATTAGACGGGTGATACTGCTGCTTCAGCCTAATTTTAAGTGTAGCGGCTCAAATATTTTTTCTTCTCTTCCAGTATGCCGAATTTGTTGTAGTAGGACAAGTTGATTAGATAGAGTAACAGAATAGCCTATAATAATCGTGGGTATATCTTCGGGCCACTAATTGGTGTTTCCGAGAAGGGATATAGTGGTGGTGTTCTTGCTGTTTTTGTCGCGTACTCAGTACCCGGTTGTAGTGTTGGCCTCTCAATTGGTAGACTGTCGCAGTCAAATCACATACTTCTCGAGTATTTTTGAAGTGCTTACGTTATTCGTTTTTTTTTTTGAAAAAAAAAGTGAGATGCAAATGACTTTTGCCAGATAAGGTTGGGTTATGAAAATTGTTGCAGATTCAGATCCAGCTTTCTTGTGAAGTAATTTGAACCATTTGAATATCTTCCTTCTTTCACTCGTCGCTTTTTTTAGGTTATGGTGTTCTTCTCTTCGTGTAATTCTGTGAAGTATCATCATGAGCTATTGAATTACATTGACATTCCTTGTATGTCTATCCATGTAAGTTTTGAACAGTGAGCATTTCAGTACGGTTTTTTTTTGAGTTATTTCTTATTTTTGTTCTGCCATTTCTTTTTAGGGGAAGCAAAAGCAAGCCAAGCGGACGTCAACGTTTTTCCAATTTTGTCGTAGGCGAATAATTGGGATTTGTTATGTTACGGATGTTTTTTGCCAAAGAGCCATGGTGCGTTTGCCGACATCTATATTTTCGTATTTTTGGTTTGTTTTTTTCAGTGGTATATTGATATGGTCCCATCCGATGGTTGTTATTGGTATATTTCATGCTGTTGATTGGATGGTGGTTCAGTTATGATCCATTGTAACCCAATGCCGCCCCAGAGTATATATCCTCTAGTGGGACGAAACAGCCCGTGCCCGGATGGCGTATGTTACTTAGTATTCGCCATTTCTTTCTGTTTGGTTTTATACTTTTATTTTTAGTGGTAATGCTTTGCTGGTACTTCGGCCTGAAGAGCTTGGTTTTCTTCGATATCTCCGAGCAGCGAGGGTGATTCTGAATGAATATGAATTTTCATGGGCTAAGGTTCGAACTGTTTTTTTTTTGGAATTGAAATTGAAGTACATTGAAATCTGGTTGAATTTAATCAAACTGAAATTAATAAGTTCTAAATAAGTGATAAGAAGGTAAGTTTGCTTCTCTAGGTGGTGCAAAATTTGTTTTCAGTTTTTGGGCGGGTTTCCTGCAGCTCGTTGCTTTTGAGATGACCATAAATGAGGCCGGAACTCTTTGTTCTGATTTTCTTTACAAGTCGATTGCGCTTATAATTCTGCAGTAAACATTTTCCTGTTGTTGGATTTTTGTTTTTGTTTTCAGATTGCAAATATACAATCACAATTGGAGAATCTGATCGATAAGAATTACTATCTGAACAAGTCTGCTAAAGAGGCGTACAAGTGCTATGTGAGAGCTTATGACTCACATTCTCTTAAGGTGAGCAAATAAAAAAAACAACTAGTTTGCAAGTCTTGCTCTGACCTTTTTGTGAATGCTATTTATTCATTCAAGTAGTCCGAAGCGGAGCGATGTAGACGCGTACGGCTGCGTAGCGTCGATATGTGTTTTAGTGTACGGTTTCGTTCCTGGGTCGTAATTCATAACCAATGAGAAAATCTTAGCAGTGTCGGTAAAAAGCGGAATTCATGATTGGATTTACAAGGATTTCGATAAAACCCTTTCTAGGATATTTTCGACGTGAACAATCTTGATTTGATAGCTGTATGTAAGTCATTTGGATTCTCCGTCCCACCATTTGTCGACATGCCGATATCCCACAAGCCAAAGGCGAGTTTTTAGTGTTTCCAAAATTTTTGTTCTAATTCTAATTTTGATCAATGGTTCCTGGAGCTTCTACAGTTCTTGATAAATCGGCCTCTCTAAATTACCGTTGAAATGGACCATTTTCTGGGCCGTGAAAGCGGATTCTGTTTGGCAGTTTCTGAATTATTCAAGATAAACAACAACACTATTGTGGATGTTCTTGTTCAAACTCGTGCTGAAATGTTAACTGCATAATAAAGTACTGCATTACGTCTGTGCTGGGAAGCTAGACTGGACTAAACATTATTGGCGCGATGTCAGACTTTGCGATTTGAGCGATTTTTTGCGAGCGTATGTAGAATGACGGAGAGGTAAGCAAACCAGCCCTTTTGGCGTTTCGGCTGGGACCGTATGCTGAATGTTGGGGAGGGGATGGGGTCCCCAACGGTCGACGGTTTACTTCAACTCGGTTGGTACGATAGGAGAGTACTGACGCAAGTGGTGCAGCTGGTCCAGCAGCTCCGCCAGAAGGGCTGGTTTGCTCACCCCAGGACTAAGCCTTGGAGAGGGGACGGACCCGTCCTCTCTTTAAGGCTTTAGTTCTGAGGTGAGCACCAAATTGTGGCGGTTCTAAGGACCGAGTTGAAGTGGTCCGTCCACCGTCGGGGACTCCATCCCCTCCCCAACATTCAGCATACGGTCCCAGCCGAAGCGCCAAAAGGGCTGGTTTGCTTACGTCGCGACGGATCGCTCAGCGATGCGAGCGACGGGAGATTTACCCGAGCGGCGCCGTGTGTATCGGTATTCGGCGGGGTAAATCTCCCGTCGCTCGCATCGCTCAAGCGATCCGTCGCTCCTGCAATTGGTGCAAAATCGCTCCAATCGCAAAGTCTGACATCGGCCATTGTTCTTATCTGATAGCCGAATAACTTCCATGAGGACGTTTTCAGCGACAGGTTTTTTTTTCGATCGTTTTTTTCATCCATTGTTTGTTAATAAGAAATAAAGTTGAGCTGATTGGTTCAGGTCCAAGTACGATCTCAGTTGTCAGGAGCCGGGCTATCGAAAACGACCGAAGGCATTCACCATCAAACAAAAGCCAAGAAAATGAGAGATATTATAAGAAAGTGTATGTTTGTACTTGTTACCTTGTTATTCCATGATGTCACATCAGTGTTGTTGTTGGTTAGTTTGTTGTTTGAGAAAAGAATTAATTCATATGTTACTCCTCTATAGGAGGTTGTTGATTTTGATTTTGCATGTGATCAAATTATTGTTTCACAAAAATAAAGATGTAATTTTTGGTGCTTCCCGGCATATCATTGTGCGTGTTACAAGGCAAGGGTGAGCACGGAACTGGTAACGATCGAAGACCATGACGTCTACGTAGGTGGAGAAATCATGCGAATAGACGATAACGGTATCAGAACCGTTAGCGTTAGGTTCTATAAGAGGTGAGGTGGAGATAGGAGCCAAGTGATTAGAGTGTTAAGC